CCAAAGACTTAGGTGGTTTTATAATGGTCTTAGATAGTCATCAATCTGTTCTCCAAGTCTGACAAGCAGAAAAATGCACCAAACTTTTCTGAAACCCAGAAGACCGGCTAAGACCAGCAAACCAGTTTAAGCTGGTTTAAGATGTTTTTGTTCCAGGTTATGTAGAAATCTGCAGTACCTCTGTTAATTTAATCCAACTGTCATTCCAAATCTGCTAAAAAAGTTCTAAAATGATTTACTGGTCTTATCTAGTTTATAATGGTTTTAGCTGGTCGTCCATCTGGTCTCCCAGTCTGATTAGCTGAAAAGCACTCATAACTTCTCCAAAACCTGTCAACAAGGCTAGGAGATCAGCTAAAACCAGCAATCCAGTTTAAGATGGTAAATAGATAGAAGATTTACCCTGCTGCTAAGGTCATCTTGAACCAGTCTGGTCTATAATGGTCTTAGCTGGTTGTCTATCTGGGCTCTCAGTCTGATTAGCTGGAAAGCCCTCATAACTTCTCTAAAACCTGCCAACAAGGCCAGCTAAAACCAGCAATCCAGTTTAAGCTGGTTTAAAATGTTAATTTGTTAACTCTGTCAATTTAATCAGACTTCAATCCTGAATCTTAAAATTTTAAGATATATTTTAAGATTTACCCTGCTGAAAAGGTCATCTGGAACCAGCCTAAGATGGTCCTGCTGGTCTTCGCTGGTTTATAATGATCTTAGATGGTCGCCCATCTAGTTTCCCAGTCTGATTGGCTGAAAAGTGCTCCAAACCTCTCTAAAACATGGGGACCAGCGAACCAATTTAGGCAGGTTTAAGATGTTTTTTTTGCCGTGTTATGTTAAGATCTGCAGCACCTTTGTCAGTCAGATTGCAATTGCAAAGAGATTTTGCTCAGTTGAATCAAATTAGTCAGATCCTTAACTTTCTTAAACTAGACTAAGATGTTTTGCTGGTCTTAGCTGGTCTGGTTGAGTGGTTTTAGAGGGTTTTTTTGTGCAGTTCTGACCTACGTTCTCAAGCCACATGATGGCTTTTCATTCTGATTGCACTATTAGTCAAATTATTAATGAATCATTAGGCTGCATGTAAACTTAGCAACTGTGGTTATTTATCAAAAGTTGCGTTATTGTGAATAGCATGAAAGGACAGTCGTTTAACTTGATTGCTTCTGCAGTTTCCACCGTTTCTGCAGAGTCTGCAGAACGCCGCTCTACATCCTGTTGGTAACATACATAACACTATATAAGTGTGTACAGGGAGGGATGAGGTAACTTGGCAAGCCCACACGTAACCCAGAGAGGGAGAGAGAACGATTAGAGAGCGTTAGGAGCTATGTGTGATCCGTCCTCGGGAGCTTGGGATGTTTCAATAATGATGTATGAGCACTTGGCCTCCTGGGATACCCAGGATGTAACCCAGATTCTGTGCTCGGACGTGCGAGAAGACAGATGACTGTGTTGTGTGTTTTATGTGTGTGTGTGTGTGTGTATGTGTGAGAAAGCGAGGCAGATCTCAGTGGTACGTGCTGCCATCATGTGTCAGGTAGCCTGCTCTGTTTTAGCAGTGAGCTAATGCTAGCCTTTCAGTCCCCAAAACAAACATATTTAATCAGTATTTGTGTATATTACAATTTTCTACGTGGCAGCTACACATTTCATTGGCTTCCATTGCTGCCTGAGTGTTTGACCCAGCACAATCTGTCACAGTGAATTTCCTCCAGACTGCTTTATTCCAGTTTGAGCTGTCAGGAGTAAAAGTGCTGTTGTTGCTCCATCTAGTGGCCTCAACCCTACTTTGTCAATAAAATACGTTAAAAATAAAATAAAATACAAATAAAAAAAAATTTATTTGTACTTAAAAAATAAAATACAAATAAAAAACAAACAAAATAAAAATAAGGTACAAATTAAATACAAAAATGAAAGTACAAATAAAATGCAAAAAAATGAAAATACAAATACAATGCTAAAAATGTAAGTACAAATAAAATACAAAAAAATTTAAATACAAAAAAAATGAAAGTACAAAATGAAAATACTAATAAAAAATGAAAGTGGAATGTGAAGAAGTGCAAAAGTTTTGGGATGGGGTGATTCAGTATGTTTCTCAGTTTACCTCTTCTCCGATTCCTTTATGCCCTGTATTGTGTGTATTAAGTATTTATGGAGACAATTGTTCTTTATCTAGTAAGGAAAGAAAATTAGTGGACTTATGTCTACTACAAGCCAGACGTTCTATTGCCCTATGTTGGAAGAATGCTAATTGCCCTTCCCTTGGACTATGGTTAAAAAATTGTATTTCTAGCTTGGCTCTTGAGAAACTTACATATGTAATAAGGAAAAAATCCTCGGAATTCAATGATATCTGGAAGACATTTTTGAACTTTGTTAAAGAAGGAGATATTGATGAGGCACTAGATGTGTGAAGATATGTAATATAAATATAACAATCAGGATTGTATTTATTTATTTATTTTATTTTATTTATTTTGCCTGCCAAGGCTTTGTGGTTGTGGGGATGGGGAAGAAGGTTTGATCATAAGTGTTCCTTGTTTACTTGTAAACGTTTTGGAAAAGTTAATAAAGATATGTTTAAAAAAAAAAATGAAAGTAAAATAAAACAAATTGATTAAATTAAAAGTGCTTCACGATGCCATAGAAGAACCTTTTTGTCTAAATGGTTCCATAAACTGGCGAAAGAAGGTTCTTCAGATTATTAAAAAGGTAAGAAAGAGATCGTTCTATAAAGAACCTTTGACTGAATGCTTCTTTGTGGAGCCAAAAATGGTTCTTCTAATCTATGGCATCGCTGTGAAGAACCTTTTAAGCACCTTTATTTTTAAGAGTGTACAGATAAAATAAAAAATAAAATACAAAAATAGGGTATAAATAATAAAAACCAATAAAAAAGTGAAAATATTAATAATAATAATATAATATTGCTTTCAGTGATTTAGATTGAAATTAACTTTAATTTTGATAAGGGTATGTTTGTCATGACGTTGGCACAATTATATGCAGATTGGTGAAGCTCAGCAACTTTTAGACTCAGCTTTAAAAGATGCCTGTACTTTCAGAAAGAAAGAAAGAGAAAAAGTAAAGGGTGCCAACACGTACCACACAATTAACTGCAAAGCAGGCATGCATGAAACATCTGAAGTATTCACGCCTCAGAAAAAATCCCTCATGTGATCGTAGCGACATTTATCGCGTGGCCTGCGTGTCTTTCATCTGGGAATATCATGTTCCTCCTGAGTCACTTTAATAACAAACCGTGCTGAGCTCAATGGAAACGTACAGGAAAGACTCAATGAACCTGTTTGTTATGAAGCTGCTCAGTGCAAACTGCATATCAAATGGTGCAAATTCTTCATTTGGTTTTGTTATGAATAACTGGAATATTTGTTTTGGGTGACCATTATTTATTAACTTGAGTTGTTTTTAGTGGTCCAGTGTTTAAGTGGTCCAAGCATTTTTCATTTGCTTTCATTTTTTTCTACTGCAAACCAACATAAAATACCATGTGTGAATGCTTAGATCATCTGCAAACGGTTAAACACTGTATGCAATGTAAATACATAAAACAGAAGGACCGCACATAAATGTGCATTTTATGACATTATTAGCTACACATTTGAGAAGTTTAGATGCCCTTTGAATGTCCTTAGATGGTAATACAGTATCATTTTTCTGCTCTTCCAGTCACCAGACCAGCTCTAACCAGCATAAACCAGCTTGGTTCAATGTGTACATTTATGCTGTCCACTTAAATACACCGAAATGTCAGAGTCATAGTAGACTGGATCATATGACTGCAGCAACACACACACACACACACACATCTCTATTACACACTCACATATAAACAGAGATCATGCATTTGCCCACAACTAAAACAAGCACATGCAAAGACCAACACACTGGCAAATTCAATAAACAGTGTCGTATTTCAGCTCAAAATTATGCATCTGTCTCACTAAATACCCATAATCCAGTTCAACGAGGCGTAAAAATCGTGCCATTCTTTTGAGCCCAAGCACACCATGTTTCTATGTAAATTAGGCTCATTATAGATTGCACCGTATTCACATATGGACTACTTTTATGATACTTTATGATGTTTTAATGGCATTTTAAAGCTTGAGTCTCCATTTGTTGTAACTGCATGGAGAAGAGCATGCAAAACTCATTTTGTGTTTCACCAGACATGATTGTGAGTAAATGAGGGGAATTTTCACTTGTGCATAAACTAAGACTTTTTTAAGGCTTTTAGGTATGAATTACTTATGTTCACAGATCAGAAGGGCGAGAAGCCCCGTCCTTTCCCCAGCCCTCGTATCTCTCCCTCTCTCTTTTGGGAACAGAGACATGATGGGATTGGCAGGAAATGTCACGTCAGTCACACACATCCCCAAAGAGACATGAAATGCAGCTGTGTCCTCAGTGCATTCAACGTGCTTTTGTATGAACCCAGTAAAACATTACATAAAGGTACAGTACCAGTCAAAAGTTTGGACTGAATATTGTTCCTTGTGACACTTTTTAATACTAAGGCTCATGAAGAAATTATTTTGTATACAGTCATAATTAAACTGTGCTTAGGTGTATGAATTTGTTTGCAAAAAAGGTCACACTTTATTTCTAAGGTCCAATTCTCGCTTAGTTAAGTATTACATTAAACGACTCCTGTTTTAAATGGGACTTTTAATGGGAACACAATTGAGAAGAAAGAAACAAACAAAAATGCCTCTTAAACCTCATTTTGTCAAGTGATATCGGGCCCATCGAATCACTTCGTGTCACTTTTCATTTCGTCTCAATAAAATCCTAATTTGCTGCTTATTAATAGTTAGTAAGGTAGTCAAGTGTAGGTATTGGGTAGGATTAGGGATGTAGAATATGGGCATTATGTGCTTTATAAGTACTAATAAACAGCCAATATGTTAATAATAGGCTTGCTAATAAGCAACTAGTTAATATTGAGAATTGGTCCCTATACTAAAGTGTTACAGCAAAAAATATTTTGTCATTTTCCAGTTAAAATATCTTAAAATCCTTAAAACAAGATGAGTTTCCTTAAGAAGCAACAATGCATGATATTAAGAGACTGTTTTTTTTTTTATAACAGTGTATTTTGTCCGATTTTTTTATTTTATTTTATACTTATACACGATGCACTATAAATCAGAAGTCTTCGTATCTTATGCACTGTTGCTTGTGAAGTAATCTTATCTTCTTTTATGAATTTTGGGATATTTTTACTGGAAAACAAGTAAAAAAAAAAGAGTAATCAAAAACTCAAAAATGTTGTATCTATACTTTTGACTGGAACTGTATATCATGGAGATATATCTGTGAAAGCAATTGTTGCGTTGACATTATAAGAATGTTTTCTGTGATTTAATTATATCACAAAACAGGATTAGCACATATCCACTATTCTAGTTTGAGTTTAGTATTATATTGAAAGACTCCTGTTTCAAATGGGACTTTTAATGGAAACACAAGTGACAAGAAAGAAACCTCATCAAATCTCATTTTATCAAGTGATTTTGGGCCCATAGAATCACTTCGTGTCACTTTTCATTTCAGAGTCGCACATAATTTGACAACAACCTTTCAAGAACTTCCTGTCTGGTCTCAGTCCACATCAACAGCCACATCCAGACGTTGTTTCATACCCTGGCTGCACCACCAGCACAGAGAAAACAGATAGAGGGCCATGCATGTTGGCAGGACGTAGAGATACGCCGTTATGAAGATCACAAACAGAATAGCATACACAAGAGCCTTGGCCGTGTGACCCAGCGAGCAGAATTCTCTCAACAGCCTACTGCTGTTGCCGCCCACCCAGGACAGGTGAATGCTGGGTAACGGCGTGGAGAGTTCATCCTCTCCGTCCAGTCGCTGGGGTTCTTGAAAGTTTCTGAGGGTCTTCCCAAGCTCAAAGTCCTCCTCTGCAGAAGTTTCCTTTGCAGATGCTGTCCGAAGGAGGGGCCTGGATGGGTCAGTGCTAACAGTTGGATAGGTAGGTAAGTGGGTGGGTGCAAATTTGGTAGCATGAATCTCAAACTCTTTCTCTTCTCCATCTGTGCAATTGTCACCCACTGCTCGGGAGTCCTCTATAAGCTCTTCTGAATGCATTTCATCCTCTTCAACACTAGCAGCTTCTATAGTCGTCTCATTCAGTCGCTCCTTCATTTTAAGTCCTTTGTTTGTCTCAAAACGCCTCTCTTCGTTTTTCAGTAGCTCTGAATTGTCTTTGTTAAAACACTTCGACGTGCATAATTCGTTCTCATTAAATGCCTCGCTCTCACACGATGAAACGCTCTGTATTTCTGCGCTGCGGTCCGTAGTTGTCTCATCTTGTCCTTTTCTACTGCTTTCCGTGTCCTTTTCATGTAGTTCTCTACAGAACGCCCTCATTTCCACCTGCTCCTCGCTAGCATCTTTATTTATATCCTTCCTTTCTGAAGAAGATCCCTCGGCCTGTCTATTTGTGAGTGGCACGTCCATGATCCCCGTAAATGTCAGGGTGTCTTTGACCGCTCTCTGTGTGTTTTCTTTAACCTTTGAGGTGTCGGAGCTGCCTGTGCATTCTTCAGGTGAGATTCCATCTCCGGCTTCTGAATTCTGAGTCTCGGTGTCACGTGCGGTTCGAGTTTCGTCCCCAGGGTTTGCTTTGGTCGTGTCTTGACTCAAAGATCCGCTTGTGTGCTCTTGATGTGGGGCTTGGCGGTCACGAGATGCCTCTAACTCGCTTCCCGCTCTCTCTGGCTCCGATCCCTGGGCAGAACATGGTAGGGTAGTGACCCTTGGCTCTTTCACTAGTTGGTAATCCACAACCTGATCTCTAGGACTCGTGCTGAGATCCTTTGATTGCTCTACGGGAACAGATTTTACAGTTTCCATTGCTTTCCTGTCAGGAGACTCTTGACTGTGGTCTTTCTCAGCTCCCTTGTCCTCCATTGGGACTAAAACTTCTGACTGATCTTCAACCTGATGTCTTGTTTTACTGCAGGCATCTGGAGGGTTTGCTTGGGGCGGTGTTGTTGTGGTACTGCCCCAATCCAGGGAAAGCAAAGGGATCTGGTGGTACATTAGTATTGGTGGCGTGTCCATACTGCATCCTTGTCGGCTGTGGACAACTGGCAAGTCAGTTCTACTTGGTATAGACAGCTTTGGGAAGGATGTGTTACTTTCATCTGTGTTGGAATTACATCCCATCTGGGTTTCCATTGCTTTCTGAGCGAAGTAGTCCTGCACGCGAGCCAAACGAGCAGCTTGACGTTTCCTACGACGATCCACCTATCAAAAAAGAGTGAAAAAAGGTGGTTTTCAACAGACTTTATTATGTCATGTTTGTAACAAGCGTCACTTATTCAGTGGAATATAATGTTGCAAAATGCATGAACTTATCCTTACTAATAAGTTTCTGCTTTGCATTTAAAGAGATTGTTCATCCAATAACGTTTTACTGTATATTTATCAGTAAACTACAAACTGGCAAACTACCCCTTTTATGGGTGAACTACCTCTCTAAATGCCTGTCTTTGTCTCTGAACCTTGTCTCTGAGCACTCATTGACCCTACCAGAGTTTTGCAGCAGTCCTTAAGGGATTTGCAGGAATTGATTCCTGCTTCTTTCTTTGTTTTGTTCTCCCTAGTATGCCCGACCTTGGGTGTGACTTGTTCTGGAAAAAAACAAAAACAAACTCAAACTCTGTCTCTCATCTTCAGAATCAAAGTTCCCCATTCCCAGATCTCCACATAAGAAACCCACCTGAGATCTCACCACTCGCCTCTGCAGGTGTCGCGTCCGAGTAGTTCTTTTTACTGTAAATATAAGGCAGGTTTTCAATTATACTCACCAACCATATGTTCAAACATACAATCTCCAGTCAAAACAGAGTGCTTGATTGGACAACCAGAGAAATACGTCTAGTTTTATTGGGAAATGAGGTATACATTTAAACAAGTTTAACCATGTTTTTTTAGTACTGTAAGGTGTTCTGAGTCATTTTTAGTGCTGCCATGCAATTGGTAGGATGTTTTGGATGGTTGCCAAAGCTTATGCTGTGCGATTACCCTCCTGCATTGCAACTATTTTGTTCTTTCAGTGTACATATATGGTATTTTTTAGACAGTTTTATCATTTTTAAAGGGTTAGTTCACCCAAAAAATACAATTCTGTCATTAATTACTCACCTTCATGTTGTTCCAATCCTGTTAGTCCTTCGTTCATCTTCGGAACACAAATTAAGATATTTTTATATTTATACTATATTGAGTTTTCTGACACTGCATAGACGGCAAATCAACTGAAACATTTTTTAGCCCAGAAAGGTAGTAAGGGCATCGTTACAATAGTACATGTGACAGCAGTGGTTCAACTTTAATGTTATGAACCTACGAGCATATTTTTTGTGCACAAAGAAAACAAAAATAATGACTTTATTCAACAATTTTTTCTCTTCCATGTTACGTTTATCCGTATGCATTCCTCTGCTTGCAAACAAGTCGCAGCGCATCTGGGTTCTACGTCAGAACGCCGGCTCTTACGCATATGTCGTGGTACTCTCGTGAATGTGCATCGACTGACACGGATGAGAAGAAATTGTTGAATAAAGTTATTTTCGTTTTCTTTCTTTTTTTTATCGTACATTATACGGTTGAACCACTGATGTCACATGGACTATTTTATTAATGTCCTTACTACCGGCCTTGAACATGGTAGTTACATTGCTGTCTATGGAGGGTCAGAAAGCTTTCAGATTTCATCAAAAATATCTTAATCTGTGTTCTGAAGATGAACGAAGGTCTTACAGGTTTGGAACGACATGAGGGCGAGTAATTAATGACAGAATTTTCATTTTTGGGGGAACTATCCCTTTAAGGCTAGAATTGTAAGCGTGATTACTTGGTAAAAGTAGCAACACACATTTCTTCAACTTCAACACATCCGAATTATACGCCAAAGTTCAAATCCCTAACACTAAGTATGAGTAATAGTGATGATTCTAGTCTCTGTTTTTGCAGTGCTCCCCACCTGATTGTTTTAAGGCAGCTCCTGATACTTTTTTGGTTACTCTCCTCTACCAACTTCTCCTTTTCACTCTCTTTCTCTTTCAGATCACTTCTTCGTCTTTGGTGGCAGAAGACAATGTAGTTCGTACCTCCATTGTTGGCCCAGAAGGTTCCAACAGCACTTTCGTACCTCAGACAGAACTCCACCCGCAACCCTTCGACCTGGAATGGAGGCGTCAACACGAGGTGGAAAGAGAAACAGTCAGTCTCGCCATCGCTGGACCCAGGCATGTACTCCGCCAGCAGGTCGAAGTGGCTCTGCCAGCCGTCCAGAGTGACGCGGATGTAGACGGCCTTGTGGAAGCAGAGGTTAAGCACGCGAACGATGCCCCGGATCGTGGTGGATCCAGGGAGCAGTTTGATGCGCTCCAGTTCCAGCTTCTGCTGCTGAAGTCTCACCTCCATGTCCTGGTGCAACACTGGGACATTGAAGAGGCATGAGATGTAGTACTCCTCACCCTCTCTACCATCTGCATCCAGCCTTGATGAATCCCGGTTGTCGTACTCCTTCACAGAAACCAGGTCCAGACCAAAGGCATCCGCAAATGACACCTTTCTTCGTACGGCTACCGGTGGGGGCTCGGGTTCCACCTCCTCGGATTCATCTCCAGAGCTTCCTTCTAATGCCCTGTCCACCGTTTTCTCCAATTTTACATTTTCCTTGTTGTTTTTCATTGTCCAGTCACTATAGATAGGAGGCTCCAGGTTGCAGGAGACCATGGAGAGTACAAGCTCTTCCCTAGACATGCCTGGGTAATGCTGGATGGGTAAAGTCTGAGAGAACAACACTAACCGCCTGGAACCCTCACTCACAACGTGACTAGACACAGAGCGTCAGGTTGCAGCTGAACATTGTGTGGTTGCCAGGCTTTAAAATAGCTGCGGGTGCTACCAAACTATGCTGGTCTTCCTGGTCACTAGTGTCTGGTAGACGTGTGACACTTCGATGTGTTCATGTCGTCTGTTGAACTCTGCTGAACCTGATAGCTTCGATTAAATGCTTTTGAATTATATATGTGTATCTGTTCCGAAACAACACAATGCTTCTGTTTGGACATGTAGAAGAGACCGGGGCTGGTTGTCACATGGGAAATTGGCTGAAGGGGCGATATCAAAGTAACTACAAGTTTTAAATACTTCTGGGTTTTTTTTCATGCATATTGGTTTCAAACACCTAGATGAAACTGTCTTAGAGAATAAAGACAGATTTTTGTGAATTCTGTTCTTCAAACAAAATTTTGCAGTGGTCATATTTTATGTCTGTTGGCAAGTGAGCACAATAATAACCGCACTGTCATTACATTCAAATAATATAATGATAATATGTCAGGTTGAGAAATGTCATGTTTTTTACAGTTTATATAAATCAGTAATGATTATTTCTTCTGGCCAAATATTTTATTTTATTGTTTATATTTTGACTGTGTTTTTTTATTTTATATCAGTTTTACTGTTTAAATTGAGTTGAAAAGCCTTTCAGTCTGTAATGCATTTTAAATGCATATTAAGATGGCTTTTATTACATTCAGATATTATCTCATATTTCAAAACAAATGTATTTTATCAAATAATTGTCAGTAATCAGTAGGTTCCCATTGTGACAACTTAGCCCATTGTGACAACCTGCTCTGCCATGGCATATATTGCCACACAAGATCAGTTTGTATTCAATAAACTGTATGTTTTTATATAGCCAAGAGGTGAAGGACTGAAATTGACTTTAGTAAATATTTTTACTTCGTTAATTTATAAAAATTTTAACTTTTTATTGTATTTGATTGTGCTTTTGCCTTTATTGTATAGTTATTTAAACAATGTCAGTTGTGAATTCCAGAAAACTCTGCTGGCTTTGCTTTCAGTGTTTTTGTGCATTATCACGACTGACCACTAGGTGGCAGCGTCTAACCAAAGTTGTGTGCACACTGTTTGTTTCTTTGAGACTCAAAAGTGGATTCCAAAACATTCCAGTAGGTGGCAGCAAACCCTTATGGTTCACGCAGTCTTCTCAAAACGATTTTCCTCCCCTAAAATCCATATAGAAAATGCACGTGTTTTTGATTTCTTTGTGATAAAACCCATAAAATGGTGCATTTTCTTAATTAAATCTTTTATTTAAATGACATGCATGTGGTGAAAAGAAGGCATCAAATATTCTATTTCTGATCAATTAACAAAAAAATTCCTAACACCTCTGCAGACATCTGACAGATATTTGTTATCAGATTTTGGAAGTGTTAAAATGTTCTAATAAAACTAAGTCAAAATCTGCTATGCAGTGCATTTATTTAAATATGCATGAACAATATTTTGATGATATGCAAATATACATGTTTTTTTTTTTACATGACCATCCATCCTTTATACAAATGTAATATTTAATACAGGTAGTTTTTGATACCACAATAGGTAATGAAGATAGTTAATTCAGACAGAGACCAGGATAATTAATTCACAAAGGGAGAATCTTTGATCTGAATATCATTTCCCCCCTGTTTTATTCATATGAAAATTTCAAGGCAGTAGCACACAGTTACAGTACACATATGATGCATAACTCACCATTACAGTATGCATATCAACTAAAGAGCTACAGTAATTCAAACATAAATGTTCAAAAGCAAACATTATTTCATAACATCAGTTGATCACTCAAATAAAAAATATTTCATCACAATGAAAAAAAAAGATTGCTGATGATCTACAGATGTTCAGCTTGAGGTGCATTTAAATGAACCTGGGGTGTGTGAATAAATTTCATGCTCAAAGAAATAAAAATGTTATGTTAAAAATACATAAAATAAAGCCTGAATTTATGTCAAACAATTAAGGAAATAAAAAAGAAAGAAAGCACAAGAATTCTCAGTTGTTCCTTTGTTTCCAACACTCCTCCACATTGCTCATCTTCAGATTTTTATACACTCAACCTTAATGACTTTATTTATTTTTTGTTTCATTTTATTTATTCATAATAAACAATACAATATTTAAATATGTATTAATCACAAACACCGATAAATAGGAATTACAATTTAAGAAATAATAATAAAAAATAGTGATAGTGATAATAAAACTGTTAAACAAAAGAAAAAGAAAATAAATGATAGCACTCCACATTCCTGCTCCTCATCTCTACTGGTCTCTTCAGCAGATGAAACAATTGATATTGTATTCTTCATATTAGTGTATTTAAAAGACTCGACAAACAAATCAAACTCCTTCAACTTCTAATGACTGTATTGTTTACCCAGCAGGTGGACATGACGTCACGTGGGGTCGCAGTACGCCAAAAAAATAACAACATGCGCATCCGCGTTAGTGCCTCCCCGCATTCTAATAAGCTAGTCCCCCCCAAACTCGACCGATACATTGCGATGTATTGAATCTAGATACAAAAAAACAAGCCGCCGCGTCATGCGAGCGCATTCAAACAGGAGTCGGTGTTACTCGGGCGTTTTTTTACTGTTGCATCGGTAATAACAGCAGCACACTGACTGAAGACAGCAGCGTCTCGCAACTCCGAGCGGAGGAATATCAACAGCGCGTGTTGTGCGTTTGTTTTTAGCGCTTTTTTAAACCACTGACTCGTAAACACGCCAAACTTTGCATCCGCGAAGGAGATACATTCGCTTCTTTTGGTGAGTTTTTTTTTTTTACGTTTATGCCTTTCATACGAGTTTGACTTCACTGAGAAGTTGCAGACGGCTTGTTGGATGGTTTATTTGTTGTTTTGACAGTGTTTGTGTTGTTAGAGAGCTCGGGAGAACTCAGTATTGTGATTCTGTCTTTATAAACAATAAACCTCCAGTGACAGTTTTGGCATATTTGATTATTGCACGTCTTTTTATGCTAAGCAACTTTTTGTTGTGTTTATAGCGGTGTTTATTTGTGCGTTTTGGTTTTAAAACAACCTGTGTGAAACGTTAACATTCATTAGTTTGTTATTGTAAATAACAACACAATTTCTATCTATTTAACAGTAAACGTTTTTAGTGAATGCATTACGGCATAAATTGTAAATATATGGAGAAATGTACATGATCTTTAATTGATTTCACTACATTTACGGTTTATACAGTTATTCTCAAATAATTATGAGTGTTTAATAGGTTTATAGTTTTACATTTTTTGTAAGTTTCTAAAAAAAAAACTATTTAAACGAGCTCATTTATTAATTTCAGTGCACTCCTGGAGTTGTCTGTTCAGTAATTTAGTTTGGCTATGTTTTTGAGGTTTGTGCTTTTGCATGAAAATATATATATATATATATATATATGTGTGTGTGTGTGTGTGTAGTAATAAAGATAATAAATAATGTATAGTACATTTTTTTTATTATTATTATTATTATTATCAAGGTTAACATTAATCTTACCATTCTAAAAAAAAAACAATTTAAACGAGCTCATTTATTAATTTCAGTGCACTCCTGGAGTTGTCTGTTCAGTAATTTAGTTTGGCTATGTTTTTGAGGTTTGTGCTTTTGCATGAAATTTGGTATTATCAGATTGTCATGAAGTGTAAAAAATACTGTATGGAAAGCTTTGGTGCCGCGTGAAAGTATTTGTTTACCGGGATCATATGCTGCTAGCTGTCAGCCTCGCAGAGATTGACTTCTCCAGATAAAAGACTGTATTACATGCTTAAGAGGTCTTATGTGCTGTAATTATCCACATCATCCTAATAACGTTTGGTGTGCTTCAGTAACTAAGACACTGAGTGTTTCCTCTGAGGTTACCTATTAGAAATAAGAAATGCTTTTTTTTGTTGTTTTAAAGCTTTGTGTGTCAGTGGATGTGATTTTTATGCTTATTTTATGAATTTAAATGTTTAATGTTTTGACTAATGGAATGTTTCTTCTCAGTCTGAGGTTGCATTGCTCTAGACCTTTTGTTTGATATTTTTTTTCCTTAAACATGGAATATAATCCCCAACTCTAGTCTTTTGACTGTGACGGTGCTCTTTCACACGAACGATATCACATGACCTTTATGGAGAGGTATTAAAATCACCCATAAGCATCTTATCTTAGTACAAATGCCCTTGAAATTATTAATTGTATGCTTAGCTGATATTATCATCATTGCTGATATGTTTTGTCATCCTTTTTTTTCAATTTAAAGGCATGACAGTATCTTGTTGGCTGAAGGCACTGATTTATTGAGCGTTTTAGTCTCTGGTTGAGTTAAAACCCCAGTCGTTGTGGATGAAGGGGGGCGTCATTTGTAGTAAACGGCAAGGTCAGACCCACTCGGACCAAACTTGCCTGTGGCCTGTGACGAGAGGAAGTGTGGAAGTCGACTCGATGTTAGTTTGCGTGATGCTGTTTACGCCAGGCTTAGTTGCAGCATGTTTTTTTTTTTTTTGCACCAATTATTTGGTTATTTAAAAAAAGATATGTAAAAAAAAATATATATATATTTTTTTTTTTATTCTATATTTACAATTATATGAAAAAAAACTAAACAAAAAAAAAAATATATATATATAATGATCCTGCTTTTAAAAGTAATCAAAAAATTCTTAAAAATATAGATACTGTCAGTACAGTAGAACCCAATACTGACCTTCTAAGTGGAATCTCTGAGGACAATTCTGTTAGCAAGAGAGAAAAAAATGTGTTTATTTGAAACACGTTGTGGAAAAACAGAGGATTTGTGACAGTAACGTCTCCTGACAGGCGTATTAGGCTGCAGAAAGAGCATCGGGCCCGAGGCTGCGGGCATATGGTGCTGCCTTCTGCTGGCATCGCTCTAGAACAAGTTGCAACACTGTGGCAGGGTCACGACGGGCTCAGGTTTGTTCCTCCTGCCCTCTCTAAATAATAACAGGGCAAATTAATGCTCCCTTTGTCTTTGGCAAGGGCAGAGTGAATATTTTTAGTTTGACTCTTTGGCCCGAATTGTTGTTTTCTTGGTTTTGCTTCATGTTGTTGTTGAGTTACTGAGCTGATGTTATTAGTTAATGTGTTTGACCTTCATGTTTCTCTATTGTTTTAAAGGAATGCCTGATTGCTGTACTTGACATTTAATTTGTGTAGCAAAATATATTTTATGCTTACAACACTACTCTGGTATTGCCATATTTTTTGGATGTGATAACACAGTAATACAATGTTTTTTTTTTGTTTTTTTGGACATATTGTTATTGTGGACATGTACCATTGTATTCTTCAAAATAACTTTGAGTGGCATGTAAAACCATGTTTTTTGTAAGGATTAGTGCAGAAAATTCAAATTTTATCTTTGATATTGATGTTATTTTATTAGTGATCTTACAAATTTTGAATGTACTGTATATGGATCAGTACCATGGTAGATATAAAAAAAAGATATATAAATATATAAATTATATATAGATATATAAAAATCTTTTTTTTACCATAATTTTACCATGTTGCCCCATTTGTTGTAAGAGTTCATGCAGAAATCAGATATTATTATTGATATCTATTATCAGTTTTAGATTTTTTATTTTCAGTCTTAGATTCATCATGAGCATGGTAACCATGCAGTACCATGGTAAATATCAAAGTATAATACCATCATTGTACCATGGTACCACTAGAGTAGCTTTTTTGTAAGGGTTAGTGTAGAAAAATCAGATTTTATTGTTAAAATTGATATTATTTTATTTTACATACTTAGCATAAATCATGAATATGTTAATTGTTCAGTATGTATCAAAATACCACGGTATTTCCTTCTGGTTCCATCACTATATCATGGTATTTCCACAGTAGTTTATTGTGAGGTGTTTGTGTTGAATGATCAGATTTTATATTTATATTCTAGCCTCTAAATGTATCTGACACTCATATGTAGCACAATTTAATAATGTCCACCAATATGAATCAATAGCACAATCATATTTTGAATACTGAAACACAAGCATCCTTTCTGAACTGTAGCTATGAGTGTGTGTTCAGGGGCCTGTGGGAATGTGTGTGCCGTTGTTGTGTTTGGTGCTCAGGGATGTCTTTTAGACTGTGGAGGGTTAATTATACTCCCTCTTTGTCTTTGATAGGGTCACTTACAGCATATGACCACAGCAATACAATAGTTTATTTTTATAATATTTGATGAGTGGTTTTTAATTTAGATTGTCACTTCTGGCAACCAGCAGGGCAGATGGTGTAGATTTGAATGCCCATCAGAGCCTAAACACCCTCCAGGCAGCTGTTGCTAATAAACTTTTTTTTTTCCCCCCTTGTTTTTCCCCCCCCGTTTTCCCCCATGCAACACGTTTTAGGTCAAGAGGAGTCAAACCTGTTACAACACCTGTTTCTGCATATGTAAATCTGTTGTTTTGTCATTTCATTAAACAAGAAAAAAAAGGCAACAGTCCCTTGTGGTTGCAAATGTGACTGGCATCGAGCCCACTTGGCAGGGTGAAGAGAGCGAGAGGAGGAGGGAAAGACACGTACAAGACAACTTGGATGCCGCTTCCGGGAAGTTCATTAGGGATGTGCCTTTGATGGGGCAGCTTTTCATGTGGCGGCGCTCTCAAATACCTTGATGTAGAAGCTTAAGAAGCCATTGTGCCCACGAGCACGTCTTATTTAGATCTGCATAGTAAATCGACCCGAGTAAATACGGGAAGAAGCAGATGGAAGCAAGGAGATAAGACCCAGACGAACAATCGCATTTGTATTTTGTTATGATGTTGACAGCAGCTAAAATTCACTAATCTAGCGCCACTGATCTGCATTTCAAAGAAATCTCATTTAGCAGCAGGGAGGATAAAGTTCTTTTCATTGTGGTCGCGCTTCTTCTTTTTTTTTTTTTTTTTACTTGCATTCTTCATTAATTTATCTGCCGCAGATTTAACGTTGGGCCGGGCGCAAGCATGCTGCATGTTGCAAAGGGGATCTTAAATACCCTGAAAGCGGTAACGTCTAGACTGTGAACCGGGGGTAATTACACGTCCGCTGATGAATGGAGGGAGTTTGAAGACTCATCTTTGTTCGGGGGGCCTGAATTGCTTGACTAGCACTGATAAGGGCTGTTCGGCCCTCAGTCAAAATATATTACGGTGGCTTCCACCTCCTAACACGGGAATGGTATGTACTTGAAAAGGTAAAAAATTATTGTGTACTGTAATCTGACTTGTTCGCATAATGTCTTCTTTCATCCGCACACCTTGCAGAGGGGCCAGAGAGGTATTCCTGCCCTTGATTTGAAATAGTTTATTGTGACTTTTAATGCCGGGCTTCATATAAATATCAGACAGTGGCATTAGGACAAACTCCGCTAATGCAGTATGTGTGTATATAATTTGATAGTATTTAGAGATCTTGAATTGAAACTGGTCCGGTATTGTGTAAACCCGTCACCACGAGGTCATGCGGACTAATAACATCAGAAAAGTCCATTTAAAAGTTGAGTTTTCACAGTCCAAAGACATCGTGGTATTAACACAAACTGGAAATGAGTTGGGAATGAACGGGACATTAACAAGCTTTTTATATCGCATTTCATTTCCAGAGTTTGTGTACACGTGCATGCGCAAAAAGCACATACAGAACGGTCTTAAATCTAATTGTGATAATAAATCTCTCATTCAAATGTTGACTGAGCAAGTGAGCTTAAATATACACTATTTGTGCTTCTAAACCGAGCATACTTCCAGAATTACAAACACCATATATGTGCACGTGTAATTGAGTGCGGAAGATGTGTATCTTAATACTCGGGCTAATAGACAGTTTGTGCTATTTCCTCCAAACACTCAGTCTCAGTTTGTAACACGTCCTCAAACACAGGCGGTTAAAGTAGTGGCGGGTTTGTGTTTGCAGAAACGCTCTCCTAAGCAAACCCCCTCCTCTTTTTGTACAGTTCAGGGAGCACATTCCACGGGATCCTGAAGTTGTTAGTTGCCTACAGGGGTCTTTGGAATTCTGGGACAGAGAGAATCCGAAGCCATTCGGCTGGTTTGTGTGTGTGTGTGTGTGTGTCCCATACTGTAGCTTCACAAGTGAACTGTACTCTTCAAAAAAAGATGAAATATGTTACAACTTGCAGGGTTTTTTTTCAAAAATGAGGTGAACTGAGCTGCACACGCTCATTTAGTTGAACATATCTGTGAGTGTCAGCAAAAAAAAACGGCAGAAGCCTCGATGGAAAGTTTGATTTATGCTCGGTTAGTTTTAAAGCTGTTTTGAGGGCAAAAAATGTTCCCTCATTTCTGACTTATATTATTATTCTGGGTGTGATGTGTGTCAGTCTGAAATTCAGACGAAGGTATCGAAGTGCGTTTAAAAATTTACAATTTAAAATTTTGCTTTCTGAATAAGGTATAATATTTTTTTTTTGTTTGTTTTTTGACAGATTCTTTTATACTTGGACTCGGCTCTCCCAAACAAACGGACATCAACTGAAAGTTTCCCCTCAGGGTAAGATCGAAAAACACAGCTTCTCTTGTACTTCTGTCAACACTTTCATCTTTTTGGCAGATGCACTCTTTGAAAACGAGATAAAAAACTAGAGCGTGATCGTACGCAACTGAGGCACGTTGACGTGAAACGAGCCCACATCCAGTTATTTGATTGACCTGTCGTATTGATGGAGTGTGACAGACTTTGTTGTAATTATTTTGCAGTGGAGATGAAAAACGCTTGCGTGACACAAACAGTAAACCTTGTCTGTCATTGCAGTCTCCTTAAATATCACTGACAACATGCTTACACTGTCATTTTTTGCTATTTTGCCACATTTATAGCATTTAAAAAGGTAATATGCAAAAAAATGCATGCCTCAAGGAAAAAATATGTATGTTTACACATGTTTCCCATTCTGTGTCGGTCAGGATGAGACCTGGTATGGCCGTTGCTCATAGCGCAGCAGGAGTACTCTGAAACCAAGGCGAAAGCGGTGAGTAAAAGCAATCTTTAAAGTGCTAATTTGCATGTTCGGTCTGTCTGTCTCGGCCATAATTGATATGTCCTCTTAAAAATCACTTCCATTATATATTCCATCAACCACATCCTGAGAGGAGCGTTAATAACGAGGAGTCCAGGGACCTCTTAAAGATTCTTGATGCATCATGATAGTCGAGAGAGTCCACTTAGTTTCTGACGGCCTCGACAGTTGTGAGGTTTCACGTTAAAGGCAGTTGAAGTCAAGATAAATGTATTGTGGTGCATAACCCAGCAGGTAAAGGTTTGAAGCATGTTGTCCGGCTCCCTCCGGCCCTTCATTGAAGCCCTGATGATGGTTTTGTCACCAAGTAAGTGAAAAATATGCATAAGGAATCCCATTGTCTTTTAGAATGTGACCGCTGATTATGTGGAGGTTGTGGTCACCGTCATTAGCGATGTAGACATTGCCAGACGGGCGGCTACAGTTGCGAAGGGTAAATGAGAGAAACCTGCATCTATTCAAGGCAGATCATGCAGAGGGCAAGTTCACGTCACGTTTGATAGTTTGAGTAAGAGACTCGTTGACATTTTAAGGGTCCCGATATTAGCTTCTGTAAGTACTCAGTTGCTACTATAATTTTTGTTCTAAAAGGATAAAAAATGGAATCAAAAATGAAAAACTGTGGAACACAGTAGGAGAAATGTTGAAGAATGTACTGGCCAATCTTCTACATATAATGAATGGAGGGGGAAAAAATCTATTAAAATATGGTGCCTTTAGATGCAACATGTGAAGTTTAATCACAAAGGAAGTTTGAATGAAATACATTTTTTGAAGGGTCCCCTGAAACTTTAATGGTGCAACCTGTATCCTCATTTATTTGTATGGAAAAGAGTCGTAAGTACTAAGTACATTTTGGAACATTTCTCCATTTGAGTTCCAAGGAAGAAAGTAAGTAATACGGGTTTGGAACAACTTAAGGGTGAGTAAATGATGACTGAATATTTTGGCCACTTTTTGGGTAAAAATTTCCCTTTAATAATTAGTCTACAAATAATGATAGAAAAAAAATTGTTATGCTTCATTATATTGAGAAAAAATAGCTTTATAAGATGGGTAAGCACCTAATCTACTGGTGATTTGAGATGAACCAGTCAATGCACTTGCATTAATATCTCTTTTTTTTTTTTTCTCTTTTCTTCTGAGCTAAGAAAATTTCACATTGCGCTAGCAATAACAGCCCACGCTTTGCTGCCGATTTGCTAAACTCAGCGAAGTCCACCGCTCAACTCGGCTCTGAAGAGAAGCGTCCATCAGTAAGGTTATTCCAAGCCATTACTCTGCCTTTGAGGTGCAGGACTGATTAAAGTTTGCATTTGCTGAAGAGGTTGGGTGGCTTGGCTTCAGGCAGGGGCTGAAATCCCCAGAAGTCACTGCCTCACAAGGCTAAGCAAAGCCTGGCTCCTCTCTCCCCACCTTAAAGAGATTTGAATATTAGTTTTTAATTTGACAAGTATCCGCTTAAATCTTCAAAGATGAACTCTTAAAGCATATCTGTTCTGGAACAGAAGTCCTCTGATCAGTGCGTAAAAAAGTATAATTGCCGCCCAACTTCACACCGCCAATGCACACACATAAAATCTACAGCAATTAAGCATATCTCACCCGAGTTTAAAAACGAGGAATGGCGTTGCTCACTCTTCGGTTGGACAGCCTAGCGTGTTCTTCACTTTGAAAATTGATTTCTTGTTCTAGTAGAGCGCCTGTCATTTCCATCTAAAATGGCTCAGAGAGAGCTTTTCCACTCCCCGGAGTCGAGAGTAACCTCCATGGGGCTTTGCACTGGACACTCGGAGCCGAGAGCTCGGAAGGATATCAAAGCAAACCGGGCTCCGTCTCCTTTGGAAGGTCTCATTGTGTGGCTGATTTGGGATTGGAAAGGGAAGGTGGTTGGGGACGGAGATGAAGCGAAGCCCGGTTCCTCCTAATCTTTATCCCCCATTAACCCCTAGAACCCGAGCAGCTCACTGGTCAATCCCCCCATTTCGATCGAATATTTTAAATTTAAGACTTTTTATGATGGATGGGGGGAAAAAAAATTGAGGCCATCAGAGGTTCACTTCATGGATCTGGTCTTTCTCTTCTTCTAAAAACTCTCTTCGCTTCATTGTTTTGTCTCCGTATTAGAAAGAAGGATTTTTTTGGATTCTGCCCAAGTTTCCATATTCCCGTTAAGCTTGGTTTTGGAAAGGGCTCATAAAGCCATGCTGTGAGCAAATTGGAGCTAGAGTAGCTCCTTGTCTTGCCCATTCACACTTCTTTTTTCTTAAACGTGATAATAAGAGGTTTGCAAAGTAAACTCTGGCAATAACGGTGTCGCCTTCATTCCCTCACTTCCAGGCATTCAGGTCCAGAAAAGCTACATGCTAATCTCTCTCAGTGGCATCTAGACAGCTTTATTTACTCGCATCCTAAAAGACAGCGAGACAGAAGGAAACAAATCGAGGCCAGTTTGAAAAATAGAGCCAGAGTTTGTAGAGAATGGACAGTTGCCCCGAGAATAGAGTTACAAAAGAGAGTCTGCCATCATTCCTGATAGAGGAGACAGACCGAGTCAATGAGGTTATTGATCCGGCAGGAGTGCTATGCTAATCAGTGTCTGAATGGGCCGAGAGTCAGTGTCCTTCACTGCGACTTCTGCTTGGTCTACTGGTCTATTTAGCTTCTTAATACATGCCCAGCAATTCTGATATGCAGAACTCTATGCAGTTTATTGTGTAAAAGCTATAAGCGCTGGAATGTTTCCAAGTGGTGGGATGATTGTGAAACGAGACCCTATTTTTGACATCAAAGCGGTCTGACACAAGTCTGACCCCGATGGTCCAGGTGGCGGGAATTAGTCAGACGTTTGCTTGCAGGTGATCATGCCCAATGCATTGGTCTCACGCTGTCTCGTCCCCCCGCATGTCGCCTGGAGTATATTTTGAACTCCCCGTGTGGTCATGAAATGGATCGCGGTGTAGAATAGTCATGGGTGGATTAGGAATGAATGGGCGCAGATTGAATATACGAGAATGTGAGTCCAATTACCAATTTCTGCCAATTTCATTGTTAGGAATGTGTATTAAACAACCACGAGACAGATTCGAAACTTATGTTCGGACAATTGTCACATCAACACATCAATTGAGTTGACTAAACTAGGATTATGATACGAAACATGCGATGGAAGCTGCCATTGGTTTCTTGCAGCCAATTTATTTAGAGGCTTTGAACCAACTGAGTATGAAGGATTTCGGCCTCCTGTGGAGTTGTAAGACTCCTAGATTATGTGAATAATTGGCCACAAAAAGGATTAATTTAAATGTAAATTAGATTAAATTAGCTTAGTCTTATTTTTTTTGTGTGTGTGTTTTATAAAATGTGATTCTTCTCACAAGAATTCTAGGATTTCAATGCATTTCTCGCATTTGATATTTTATATAAACAGCTAATGTTATTTTCGTCGGAAGAAAGAAATCTTATACGTTAACAAGAGTTCTCCCCCGCAACGCTTTGATAGCGCTGTTTTGAAATGCTTTCTCCATTTGAACGCTTTGTCTGGCTTCATTCACAGGAAAAGCTTTACTACAAAAGATACAAGCCCACCTCTTTGTTCTTCACGATAATTTGATCGTGGCTTGAAAAGTGATCTTGCGGAAGGAGCGGTACTAGAGCCTGGAATTTGGCTTCCCCACCACAAACCGCAAGCCTGTACAATCAAACTGTGTCACGGTTACCTGATTTGATAGATGGTGAAACTGTTTGTTGTTGGGACGAGAGCAACCCGATTCGGGTCACATGTCCGTCTCAGGCTGGAATGTATGTGTCGGAGCGACCGTGCTGCCAAATCCAAGAGTCTCTGATTTCTCTCCATGGCGCGTGTTTCACTTTTGTAACCCTCTCTCATGAAAGCCGTGCCTCTGGGCCAATTCTGCGGTCACACTACCTGATTCTGAGGCTCGTGGAGTGATGTTGAGTGCTGAAGCCAGAGGGAGTCATGTGAGAGAGATTCCGTCTGCATAAACATGCCCTTCTTCTTCTGCGAGAGAGACCAAACAGACAGGGCGTCCCTCAGCCCACCTCACCTGTGAAGGCTTTTCAGATCTCTTTCACTCTCCTTTCCTGTCTGTCTCCCTTTTCTTTTCCTCTTGTACTTCTCCAGCTGTTTCCTTCAAGTCCCGTTAAATGAAACTCTCAGAGAGCAGATTATTTTTCCATCATTCCGGCTGGTGAGGAGGAATTAAGTTAAGCTCTAACGACAGCATTTGTGGCCTAATGTCGATTACTGCAGAAAAAAGTATTTAGACTAAATCTTAAGGTAAAAATCTTGAGTGTAGTGTAGTGCAATCAACATCAAAACACACTTTTCGAAATTATAGACACTAATTCAATTTCTGGATTCGTTGAAATGAATTTGAATTTGAATTGAGGTAGCAAATAAGATCCAGAATTGCAATTTTAATTTGAATCATAGTATGTAGAATAAAATTAACTGAAACTCTCAGAAATCCATGTAACTGTATTTTTTTTTAGTAAAAAATGCTTTTGTTTGAAAGTTTGTGTAAAAAAGCCTTGAAGTTTGAAGGACCGGATGGATGGATAGACAGATGCATTGCTGTAACTGTGATTTTGGTTTGTTTTTATGAACTGGGGGACAATTTGAATTGAATTTCTGTTTAAATCAAAATGAATTCCACAGATGTTGTTGATCGAATATTTAAGTTTCATGTAAGTAAAATGAGTTTTGTTTAGACTCACTTCTTTCTCGTCCCATTCCGCTGCTTTTCCATTTATTTTCTCCTAATATTTCTCTCCTGCTTTCTCCAGACCTATTTTCATCACTTAATTCTCTCTTTCTTTCATTTCATTTCATAGCTTTGCTCCCCCTGTTATTAGATGACTTTCTCTCTCTCTCTCTGTCTTGCCTGTCTGCGGCATGTTGCACCACACACACACACACACACACACAC